ATGTGAACACTTCTCGGCACATTTAGAGCATTTAATAACAACTTGAGGTATCTCCATCTTTTTCAGGTATGGTTCTGTATCATTCATTTTGCCACTTAATGCATGGCCTTTTTATGGTTTTTGGAGCATCTGTAACATTCAAAATCCTGTGCTAGGGCCAGCCTTCTGTTGTTATCAGTACCTTATGTGTAGCTTTTTTCCCCCTGTTCATTAAATAAGTTCTCTAAGTTAGGAATCAGTGCCTTGGCTTTTAGGAACTGGGCCACACAGCGGGAGATGAGGAAGGGGAGGGGTGCAAGAAAGGGAGTGAAGCTTTATCTGTATTTACAGCAGCTCCCCATGGCTCTCGTCATGCCTGAATTCTGCCTTCTGTCAGAACAGCTGCAGCATTAGATTCTTGTAGGAGCGTGAACTGCACATGTGAGGGATCTAGGTTGTGCACAGTTTATGAGAATCTAATGCCTGATGAACTAAGGTGGAGCTGATGTGGCAATGCTAGTGCTGAGAAGCAGTTGCAAATACAGATTAACGTTAGCAGTGAGTTTTGGCTGCACAGAGACCATAATAAATCAATTGATTGCAGACTCTTATCAAAATAATACTTTTTTTTAAAAGTTGGAGTCTTACTCTGTCACCCAGGCTGGAGTGGAGTGGCACACTCACGGGCACTGCAGCCTCAACCTGCTGGGCTCAGGTGATCCTTCTGTCTCAGCCTTCCAAAGTAGCTAGGACTACAGGGTTGTGCCACCATGCCCTGCTAATTTTTTTTATTTTATTGTAGAGATGAGGTCTTCCAAGTGGCCCGGGCTGGTCTCGAACCTCTGGACTCAGGCAATCTTCTTCCCTCCACCTCCCAAAGTGCTGGGATTGCAGGTGTGAGCCACTGCACCTGGCTAAAACATTAATTTCATAAAAATAATTTCGTTATATATAACAATGTAATGTTAGAAATAAATGCACAATAAATGTAATGTGCTTGAATTATCCCCAAACCACGCTCCCCCACCCCCCATCCGTCCATGGAAAAATTGTCTTCCATGAAACTGGTTCCTGATGCCAAAAAGGTTGGGGACCACTACTCTTAGAGCAGAGATCATTTTCAGTCCTTTCATAGGACTAAATATAAGTTGAATTTTAGTATATAAGGGTCTTCAGTCCCTTTTTTTAATTTTAAAGATGTGGGGTACAATTGATCTGCAATCCCTTCATCAGAATCTTTGGGAGTTAGATGTATCTGGAAAACCAAATTTCTTTCAGATTTAAGGAGGGCAACAAGCAGCAGTCTTATACCTAGTTATTTAACTCCAACAGGATCTGTGATAGCACTTTGTAATCAAATGCATTAAAACTTCTGCTGTTAAACATATTCTTCAGTGGGGACTGGAGCGGGATCCTCTAAAGATTTCTGTTTCTGCTGGGCGCAATGGCTCATGCCTATAATCCCAGCACTTTGGGAGGCCAAAGTGAGAGGATTTCCTGAGCCCATGGATTTGAGACCAGCCTGGGCAACATGGCGAGACCTTGTCTGTACAACAAATCAAAAAAATTAGCCGGATGTGGTGGCACGTGCCTGTAGTTCCGGCTACTTGGAAGGCTGAGGAGGAAGGATCGCCTGAGTCCAGCAGGTCGAGGCTGCAGTGGCCATGAGCATGCCACTGCACTCCAGCCTGGGTGACAGAGTGAGGCTCCAACTAAAAAAAAAAAGATTGCTGTTTCTATAGCAAAAGATGGTTATTCACACTAAAGTGTGATTAAAAACTAAATAATCTCATATTCAGGTGTGACTTTGCTGCCAAATGAGTTTTACTTTGATGACACACAGTTTGGGTGAGTTGAGTTTCTGAGTTGAGGATAATGGGTTGTGGAGCTTCACTGGTTCTAAGCTTACTGTTCTCTTTATAGAACCTGGGAAATGCCATCCTTCCATTGTGCACTGTTTGCTCTGTGCCAGTCTAACTTCCGGGGCTTTCAGCTTCCTTCTGGGACTCTTAACTCCAACCTCCTACCTGTCCATTTCTCCTGTACAGTACATTCCTCATATTACTCCTTTGTCCCCAAACTTACAGTGTTTTGCCATTAATTGTCTTCAACATGTCTATGAGAAGCAGCTACTTTTTCATACTCCTAAAGTCTCAGAATTATTGCAGGGAGAGTGTGATAACATATTTAGTGTCGAGCTTGGGAAGAAGGCATTGCACTGTCTTCTCTACAGGGAAAACTGTGGGGTAACTGGATGATGGGGTGGGGGGCTGGTGATGACATTTGGCTACTGATGTTATGTGGCTTTTCTGGTGTCATCTGGCTACTGCTGAGGCCGCCAGGACTTGGCCTGGAAGAAGGTAGGCATTCTTGGCCTGCAGAGAGATTTCAGATTCATCTAAGACCTTCTGTGATCTGGCTCCTCAGATTGAGTTGCTGCTCCTCAGATTTAAATTTTCTTTTTTCTGTCTAAACATACTTAGTGCCCATCTCATGAATAACATACTATATATACTTTTTGGCTTCATACATTTTCCCCAATATTTCTCTGAATGAGTGACATTTTTCTTCTTGTATTGTGTACTTAATTTTACAGTTCCCCATTGGTAGATCTGGAAACTGGGATTGGATCTTACTTGTTTGGAGGCCCATGGTTTTTGTTTTATGCTGTGTTTTAAAATAACTGCTAGTTTTCCATATGCCCCAAATGCCTGGTAAATTTTCCAAATTGGAGCCACATTAGGTATGCCATGTTTATTTTGAGATGCATATGGTAACAACTGGGACTCTTAGAATGTTGAAGCTGGAACATTACATTATCGGTGTAATGTTTTATAAATCAGGAAGTTCAAATCGGCAAAGCTCCAGAGGCACACAGCTGAATAGTAGTGGAACCATAACTCATTTATTTCCTGGAAAGCTTTTCAGTCTCCTGTTTGTTCTGTTTGGTGTTATAGCTAACATTTTTATTTGAGGTTTTTTCTCTTTTTTCAAGCACGTGTAATTCTCTTTTTGGATTTGGAAATCTTCTACTCTTCTACCTCCCTGATTTCAGTCCATAGGAGTAAAAAAAGAAAAATCATTCTGCTTCTTGGTGACAAATTGGTAAAAAACAAGATTGTGTAAGATGTATCTGACTAATTAAATGACCAGAAAATGGTCTATGATTAGGGACTAGATAGCTACTTTTATACTAACAGCAAACCAATTTAAATTTTGCTTTTGGTGTTTCATGCTTAAAGTTATTTAGGACTCAACTGTATTCCATTCCCCGCGTGCATCTCCAACTTAAAGATAGGTTCGGCCATGCCATTTGTGAATAATGGTGTCAGTGCCACATTGTGTTTTTTTGTTTTATTTTTGAGTTGGAGTCTCACTTTGTCACCCAGGCTGGAGTGCAGTGGCACGCCCATGGCCACTGCAACCTCGACCTGCTGGGCTCAGGCAATCCTTAGCCTTCCAAGTAGCTGGAACTATAGGCACATGCTACCACACCCAGCTAAATCATAAATATTGTAGAGACAACGTATTGCCTAGTTGCCCAGGCTGGTCTCGAGCTCCTAGGCTCAGGCAGCCCTCTCGCCTTGGTCTCCTAAAGTGCTGGGATTATAGGCTTGAGCCACTGTGCCTGGCTTGTTTTTCTGTTTTAAACTCTCTGTTGCTATTGATTGAAGGCGCAAAACTGAGTAAAAAAAGTAATGAAAAAAGTAGGGCTAGGTGTGGTAGCTCATGCCTGTAATCCCAACGCTTTGGAAGGCTGAGGCAGGAGGATCGCTTGAGCCCAGGAGTTTAAGACCAGCCTGGGCAACAGTGAGACCTCATCTCTACAAAAAAGTGAAAAGAAAAATTTGCTGGGTATGGTGGTGTGAGCCTGTAGTCCCAGCTACTCAGGAGGCTAAGGCAGAAGGATCACCTAAGCCTAGGAGGTTGAGGCTGCAATGAGCCATGGTGGTGCCACTGCACTCCAGCCTGGGTGACTCAAAAAAAGAAAGAAAAAAGTAGATGCTAGTTTGAATTTATACAATTAAAAATTAAGCTACAGTTGGAGACTCTTAGTTACTAAGGGGGAAAACAGGGAATTATCATCATTAAAACTCAGCACTAAGGAGCTTTAGCTCTTTTGGTGTGTAGGGAGTACTCTAAATTTTCATGAACCAGTTTTTGTTTAGCAAAATAGTCACCCAATGGGATAAACTTTTTTTTTTTTGAAAGCAGGATTGATCGAGAGGATAGAAAAGCTCCCACAGTGGTAAGGGACACAACGGGGTTGCCTGGAATTAACATTTATAGTTCTCTAAAAATCACGCCAGTGTCTCTTGTCACTGAATATTTTGTTTTGTTGTTTTGTTTTGTTTTTTTCTTTTTAGTCCACTCTGTTGCCCAGGCTGGAGTGCAGTGGCATGCTCAGGGCTCCCGCATCCTCAGCCTGCTGGGCTCAGGAGATCCTTCTGCCTCAACCTTCCAAGTAGCTGGAGCTATAGACACCTAGTTAATTTTTTGATTTTTATTATAGAGATGAGGTCTTGCCAAGTTGCTCAGGCTGGTTATGAACCCCTGAGCTTAGGCAATCCACTTGCCTCCGCCTCCCAAAGTGCTGGATGGAATTACAGGTCTGAGCCACTGCATCCAGCCAACTGAATACTTTTTAACTTAAATAATTTTTATTTGCTATAGAGAGGAATAACAGTACCCATAGCAAAATAAGAGACAAAAAACAAATTGCAGCAGTTAACAGAAATCTGAACTTTGGCTTGAGTTTCTAGAATTTATAGTCAAGCATTTATGAGTATTGTTAAGGGATTAGGAGAATTTAGGGTAGATTTGTACAATGTCACCATTCTATTTTTGTGTGCTCTTTAACCTTTTGGGAGGGTATTTCTGTGTTTATAGAAGAAAACTGTGAATCTCTTGTGATACACAGCTTTAGACTGGACACCAGATAACGGCTCTTTATCCTGATTGGAGTCAGACTTGTGCAGGATTTTGTATACAGTGTAACTCTTCCTGTTCTATTCTTTCAGCTTGGATTTACTCTGGGCAACGTGGTTGGAATGTATCTGGCTCAAAACTATGACGTAAGTGGCCATATCCATGACTTCCTGAATTCCATGTAACTGTTTTAGAATGGCTTGGCTTTGCTGAGGTAAGGTGTGCCATCCAGCATAAGTGATGTCCCTAGGACTGAGGAAAAAGTCCTAACTTTTGTAGATTTTCCACTGTTTGAAAAAATAATCCAAGTCATGAAACATCCTGTCTCCGTATCACCACAAGAGGACAAATCCCATTGGTGTAGTGGTATCAAGATGACCCTAAGCTGTGCTTGTTAGCCAGAGCAGTATTAAGTTGGGTTCTTAAAATTCTGTGGAAAATCTTGTGACAAGTGAGAGTTTAAATATTAATTGGATAATCCTTTCAGCCCTCCTACCCAGTAGTAAAGGTGACAGAATTTTGGAGGTGGATCTATCTAGTGTAGCACATTCGAGGACAGTTTTTTCATGGTGAGTTGTATTAACCTTGCTTTATTAATGATGAAGTTGAAAACTGGGTAGTGTAATTGCCCATGATTGGAGATCCTGAAAGGGTGTTTTAAAAAGACAAGCAAAGAAGCCGGGCTGGGTGGCTCAGCCTGTAATCCCCCGCCTCTTGGGAGGCTGAGGTGAGTGGATTGCCTGAGCCTGTGGGTCCGAGACCTACCTGGGCATCTTGGTGAGACCTCATCTCTACAACAAATGAAAAATTAGCTGGGAGTGGTAGGGCGCGTCTGTAGTTCCAGGTACTTGGAAGGCTGAGGCTGCAGGATCGCCGGCGCCCAGCAGGTCGAGGCTGCGGTGGCCGGGAGCGGCCACTGCACTCCAATCTGGGCGATGGAGTGAGACTCCAACTCAAAAAGAAAAAAAAAAAGAAAAAAGAGAGAGAGAAATACTAGTAACGAAATGGTGTTGTGATATCCAGCAATTTAAAAAAAATAAGTAGTTAAATTCTCTAACCCACTTCTCACAACAAAATAAATTTTAGATGCATTGAAGATTTAAGCATTAAAGGTGAAATAATAAAAATGTTCAAGAAAAGTCACAGGTAGTTATCCTGATTTCTTGGAGGGAGGGTGAGGTGAAGGCAGAAAGGCTTTTCTAAGCATATCAGCTAGTCTCCAGGAAAAGATGAGTCTGACTGCATGTGAGTTAGGAGCTCTTATTTGACAATCAAAAAAATGAAATCAAGTAAAACGACGAATGTGAGAGAGGCTAGCTAACATATTCAAAGCTACTATTTTAGCTGGGTGCAGTGGCTCAGTCTGTAATCCCACGCCTTTAGGAGGCTGAGGTGAGTGGATTGTCGGAGCCTGCGGGTTCGAGACCCACCTGGGCAACTTGGCGAGACCTCATCTCTACAATAAATCAAAAAAATTAGCCGGGGATGGTAGCACGTGCCTGTAGTTCCAGCTACTTGGAAGGCTGAGGCAGAAGGTTTGCCAGAGCCCAGCAGGTCGAGGCTGCAGTGGCCGGCAGCGGCCACTGCACTCCAGACTGGGTGACAGAGTAAGATTCCAACTAAAAAAAAAGACAAGCAAGAGAAACATGATACTAACTTTTGATGTGTTTTGCAGTAAAGCTTTTAATGTGACAAAGGGAATTCCTTGTGTCAACCTTCACTTGAGTCATACTGTTTCCTAGGCGGGGCTTTATTAATTTACATCACACTTATTGTTTATCTTGGTACCGGACTGAGGAACTAAGTGGGTATATAAAAGTAGAGGTCAGAATCTACTTTCAGAGAAGGAGCATGCTTATCTTACAACTTCTGATATCTTTCATATGTAGTCATAATACTAAGAAATGTCATTATTTAACAGGTCTCTTTCAGGGGAAAAAATTGTAAAACCATTTATCTTAGGAGGAAGAGAAGTGAAAGAATATTTATTAGGTATATGCAAAATTATAATAATCTTTTTTCTTTTTAAAGATACCAAACCTGGCTAAAAAAATTGAAGAAATTAAAAAGGACTTGGATGCCAAGAAGAAACCGCCTAGTTCATGAGGTCGACTCCAACACTGCCTTCTGGATACACTAATCTTCTCTTGAGAGCCTCCCTTTTCCATCTGAACCAAAAACTTTTGTTTTTCCCTCCAGCCTCAGCAACGTTCTTCTTAGCTAGACCCTATGTTTTTTGCCTTGGAGCAAAATGGGGCTCCAGGTTGAGAACTACCCTTGCATTTCCAACATCCTCATCTTTCTCCATATCTTCCTTCCAGCTGCATGGAAAATTCTAAGACTGGAATTATGGTGCTAGATTAGTAAACATGACCTTAACTGAGTAGTCTCTTCCTCATTCCTTGGGATTTCTACTACCTTTTGTCAAAAGAAAAATTGATGAGTTTTGTATAGCTGGTTAGACACAAATAATACTGATTTCACAGTTTAGCAGTTACAACAGGTGCTTGTTAAACATCTGGTACTAAATTATGTTGTTTCACAATAACTAAAATGAATATCTAGAAGCCAGTTTTTTGGTGAAATATACATTTATTTTATACTGATACTGTTAGGCAGCTCCATAGTTGCTAGTTTAACCAATAAATCAATTTGCTATTCATTAACTGAAAATTTTTGAGAATTCTCCCAGGAATTTAAAAATATGCAAAATAATGATCTTTGTCCCAGTAGAGTTTATGGTCTATTTAGTTTATGTGTTTTTTCTTCCTAATGTATTTGATCTGAATTTTTTCCCTCAGAAGAATCATACTTGGGATTATAGGTACATTTGATGTTATATGGTAGATAAATGAAGTTGTCTATAAAGGAAATTCTATGCCTTTTCACAGTATGTAAGAGTATACCTATAGTGATTTTCAAAAGAAAAGTGTGACCCAAATGTATAATAAAGTCAGCATCTCCAGAAGGATAATTTCTGTTTCTCTTCACAATTATTGTTTTGTTTTTTCCCTGTAGTCAGAAATTATCCTTGTAATTTATCAAATGTATAATCAGCCCATATTGTTTTTCAATCTTAAAAAAGTTTTTATAGTTAACTTTCCCACAGGTAAAGATCAAAGATGATTTCTTTACAGGGCTGCTCCCAGCTCTGTCCTCTGCTCCCAGCTCCTCTTGGGTCGTTACTTGTTACCACTTTCCTGTGTTTGTGTGAGAAAGAGTCTGTGCTTCAGCAAATACATGCGTTTCTGGAGTGTTGTGTTTTTGTTTTTGGGGTTTTTTTTTGAGTTGGAGTCTCACTCTATCGCCCAGGCTGGAGTGCACTGCAGCCTTGACCTTCAAGGCTTAGGTGATCCTTCAGCGCAGCCTTCCAAGTAGCTGGAATTACAGGCATGTGCCACCACACCTGGCTAATTTTTTGATTTATTGTAGAGATGAGGTCTCGCCAAGTTTCCCAGACTGGTCTCGAACCTGTGGGCTCAGGCAATCCTCTCACTTTGGCCTCCCAAAGTGCTGGGATTATAGGCATGAGCCTCCATGTCCAGCCTCTGGAGTGTTTTTATACAAGCAACATACTGTACATAGAGGTCTGTCCCTTGTCTTTTTTTTCCATTTAAATGGAGATTTTTCCATATCAACATCTGAGGAACCTCATCCCGTTTTGGCTGCATGAGATTCTGTTGATCAGACATACCATAATTTATTTAATCTGTTACTGATAAGTATTCAGGTTGTTCTTTTGCTATTACAGTGATAACCCTGAGTGTAATATTATACATATCTATTCGGGGTATAGCTGTAAGATAAAGTCCTAAAGTATAATTTGCACTAAACATAGGTCAATACCCATGGCATGAGTTGTTCTGTTTTTGAGGGCATATTGGGGCGGCTTCACTGATGATGCTGTTTTTAAAGAAAGCATGTTCAGAATCAACAAATTGTACCATTTTCAGACAGCGGTGACACTGATTGTGTGATAAGTGATTCTGCTTTCTGAAAACATGGATCTCTCATACATGGAGATAAGTTTCATCCCTTACCATTGTGTGTGAGACAGGTTTAGATCAAATTATGGTCTGACCTCTCCCTGGCAGTGTGACATGGGCAAGCAGCTATTCTTTCTGAAACTGTGTTATCTAAGATGTAGACAAGAGTACCTACCTTCTAGGGTTTTCATGAGAAATAATTGAGATAATGTGTGTCATTTTGCACATTGCTTTGCAGATTGTCTAATAAATAGTAGATATTAGTCCAAACATGCAGCTTTTTGGGGCCAGTTTTGCAGTCACTCTTGGAACCAGTTTATGAAACATGCAAAATTTGTTATTCTGCAGTCACTCTGATATTGATAAAAATTTACAGTATCCACCTAGATCACACTACCTGGCTCACAAGATTTGGGCTTGAATGACTGAATTGCTAGCAGAATGAACTAGACCCTCAAAGAAGGCTCAAGGAGGCTAATCTTGAGGGTATTAAACATGCTAGAAGCTTATAAAGCTATTTCTAAGATGAGATTCCTTATTATCAACCATGATTGCATTGTTGTTGTGTGTATGATCTCTCAGGGTGGCTGCTTTGGGAATGAAGGTCACTTAGCTGTTAGACAATTAGGTCTCTTTATGTATATCACACTGGGTAAGTAAGACTCATTTGGATTTAGGGCTTTCCTCAGGAGTGACACATAACCTTGCTGCTAGGATTACTTCTACCAGTGGGAGCCATCCAGTAGATTGGTTCTTAAGTTCAACTTTGCTGTGTAAACTGATACGTGGTGAATGCAGACTGACTTGATGTTCGCCAGATACCGCTCCTGGTTTTTGCAGCAGTGGAAAGGAGTTCACAGTTCTTCGGCAAGATGATCTACACAGAGGCACATGTCGATAACCCAGAACCATTGTCGATTTTAGAGTGTAGTTGAAAATGCATACTGTGTGTGGGGTTCATGGCACTGAAAGTTTCTTTTTCCTGGGAGTTGTGTAGGGACACTTGCCACACAGATCAAGATATGCCCTTTTTTCCTTTGAAAATGTCTGAAAACTATTGATGTGATTTAAGAAAACAAATGGCTGGGCTCGGTGGCTCAGCCTGTAATCCTGCGCCTTTGGGAAGCTGAGGTGAGTGGATTACCTGAGCCCATGGGTTCGAGACCCGTCTGGGCAACTTGGCGAGACCTCATCTCTACACTAAATCAAAAAATGAGCCAGGCGTGGTGGTGCGCGCCTGTAGTTTCAGCTACTTGGAAAGCTGAGGTGGAAGGATCGCTGGAGCCCAGCAGGCCGAGGCTGTGGTGGCCGGGAGTGGTCACTGCACTCCAGTCTGGGTGACAGAGACAGACTCCAACTCAAAAAAAAAAAAAAAAGAAAGAAAAATTGCCACATCTGATCATAAAAGAAGGGTTACTCAAGATACTAGTGCAGATTACTCTGACATTTCATATATGAAACTTAAGGATTGATGCTGGAAACTTGATGAAACTTGATGAACCTGAACAGTTTATCCCTAAAGTGTAACCATCTCAAGCAAAATAACAAAAGGAGAGAAAAAACAACCTTATTTAAAATTGTCGAGAGGAGTTTAATTTTATGAAGTTGCCCAAGTTATATCTTTTTTTATTTTTATTTTTTGAGTTGGAGTCTCACTCTGTCACTCAGATGAGTGCAGTGGTCGCTCCTGGCCACTGCAGCCTCAACCTGCTGGGCTCCGGCGATCCTTCCGACTCAGCCTTCTAAGTAGCTGGAACTACAGGTGTGTGCTACCACGCCTGGCTAATTTTTTATTTATTGTAGAGATGAGGTCTCACCAAGTTGCCCAGGCGGGTCTCGAACCCATGGGCTCAGGCAATCCACTCACCTCGGCCTCCCAAAGTGCTAGGATTACAGGCTGAGCCACCGAGCTCGGCTCAAGTTATATCTTTAGACTTTTCTTCTGCCAGGCATGGTGGTGTGCACCTGTAATCCCAGATACTTGGGAGATTGAGGAGGGAGTCTCACTTGAGCCTAGGAGTTGAGGCTGCAATGAGCTATGATCACACCACTACACTCCAGCCTGGGTGACAAAGTGAGATCCCCATCTCTAACAAAAATAAAATAAAGGCCAAGCTCGGTGGCACAGCCTGTAATCCCAGTACTTTGGGAGGCCAAGGCGAGTGGATTGCCTAAGCCTGTGGGTTCAAGACCAGCCCGGACAACTTGACGAGACCTCATCTCTACAATAAATCAAAAATTAGCTAGGCGTGCTATTGCGTGCCTGTAGTTCTGGCTACTTGGAAGGCTGAGGCGGAAGGATTGCTGGAGCCCAGCAGGTCAATGCTGGGGTGGCCATGAGTGTGCCACTGCACTCCAGCCTGGGCAACAGAGTGAGACTCCAACTCAAAAAAATAAAAAATACTTTTCCTCTGATTTAAAGGAGCAAATTTTAAAATTTTTTTATTTTTATTTTTTGAGTTAGGATCTCACTGTCACCAAGACTGGAGTACAGTGGCACCCACCACAGCCTCCACTTTCTGGGTTCAGGCAATCCTTCTGCCTCAGCCTCCCAAGTGGTTGGGACTACAGGCATGCACCAACACACCAAGCTAATTTTTTTGTTTTTGTAGTGACAAGATCTTACTGTATTGCCTAGGCTGGACTCAAATTCCTGGGTTCAAGCAATTCCGCTTCTGCCTCCCAAAATTCTAGGATTACAATCATGAGCCATCACGCTCGACCTAAAGGAGCAATTTTATTTTTATTTTTCTAACCCTTTTACTCAATTTTCATTTGTATGACTATAGGGAAAAGTAAGCTGTGTGGTTTTTCTGGTTGTCTATACGTGTTGTTTCATAGAGCATATGTACACAATATGTAATGTTTTCATTTCCACTAAGCAGTTCACTCCCTAATTGCTATGCTGGTGTTCTTCTGCTGAGGTCTCCCACATCTTGAATGTGTTGTTATTTCTCCTGAAGGAAATGCTATATACTGTACTCAAGCAAATGAGACTTTTCTTAAACTTCCAGTCTTGAGTTTTACACACAATATTTTCATTCTTTACACAGATGAATGAGTTCCTTTTTCCCTACTGACTACTAGGGCTTTGCCTTGTGGAAAGGAATAGGGTGATGAAGGGAAAAATTTTGAGGTCTTACCTGGTCTTAATAGGGAGTTTGTGACACTTAGATTTTGCAATCTTCCATTTATAACTTTCCTAAATCTGGTTGCAACACAATCAGTCTGGAACTGAAGACCTAACATTTGGCATGTTTTCTTTTCTTTTTTTTTTTTTTTTGAGTTGGAGTCTCACTCTGTCGCCCAGACTGGAGTGCAGTGGCCACTCTTGGCCACCGCAGACTTGACCTGCTGGGCTCCAGCAATCCTTCCGCCTCAGCCTTCTGAGTAGCCAGAATTACAGGCATGCGCTACCACGCCCGGCTGAATTTTTGATTTATTGTAGAGATGAGGTCTCGCTGCCCAGGCGGGTCTCGAACACGCAGGCTCAGGCAATCCACTCACCTCAGCCTCCCAAAGGCGTGGGATTACAGGCTGAGCCACTGATCCCAGCTGGCATGTTTTCTAAGGCACGGGAAAGAAAATGAACTGAGAACAACAAGGCTTTGTGAAAGTTCCCAGGGTGGGGTGTTGCACAGCCTGGGTCCTGGACCAGCTTAAGTCACTGCTTCGGTAGTAGACCTTATGAAAAGTGCAGTATGGTTGCATCATCTTACATAATTTTACAGTACTGAAACAGAAATGGTATCACTTAAATAGCATGTACAGTTCTGCTCAGCTGTCAGTGAGGGTAACACCAGGCTGAGCTAGCTACCTGTGTGCTTAGGTGGTCTGGGCTCCCCTTATGTTCTAATGGTGTGATTATCTTGCTGTACTGAGAGTGATTGTAGTGTTTAGACTTTTTAAAACAACGTGGTCCCTAAATGTGAAACCAACTATTTCATTTAGTGTTTAAAGAAATGGGGATCTATTCTGACATTGTAAGGAAAACTAGTTGTTTTTAATTGTTTAAACGATGGCACATGAGTCTTTGTGACATGTGAATGCTAATGTAAAAGACTATACCATGTACTTTATGGGTTGACTTCATGGAATTTTGAAGGCAGCTTTGACTAAGCAAATGTGATAAATGATTGACTTGGGAATAAGATACAACTATACTTATTGACTTTGGCTCTCAGTTTCATTATCTGTAAAATAATAGAAGATAATCAAATTATATATTTGCAAGAAACAAGACTACTTATGAGGACTAGAGGCTACCCAGCAGTGGAGTGATTTAGACAACAAGAAGCTATTAACTGTATCTGTCATTTCCTGTCACTGGAACGGGCAGTCTTATTTGGCTTGAGTCTCTGGTTCTAGGAAAGTGCATGCTGGACTCGAGAACAGCCAGTTGACCAGATTGAAGTAAATGCTCTTGCTGCACTGGCGAGTTGAATGGCTCACTGCTTGGAGCACCCAGAGCATTGCTACTGGGGACTTGGCACAGCTTTCCTCAGGAGTGAGTCGGTTCTCACACAGCTGAACAGTGGCCAGTAATTTGAGTCCACTCAATTCTAAATCAGTTTTTCTCTCTTTGTACTTATTATATCCCCAGAATCTTACTGATTATCTGCACCCTTGTCTTGTTGTCTGACTTAGGGACCAAGGGTCTGAGCTCTGTAATGGGTCAGAAATGTGTTGATTTGGCTGCCGATAATAGGAGTAACAACCTGACCCTTGAACATTTTATTTATTTATGTATTTACTTATTTTGTTTTTGTTTTTCTCGAGTCGGAGGCTCACTCTATTGCCCAGGCTGGAATGCTGTGGCATGCTCATGGCCACCACAGCCTTGACCTGCTGGGCTCAGGAGATCCTTCTGCCTCTGCCTTCCAAGTAGCTGGAACTACGGGCATGTGCCACCACACCTGGCTAATTTTATTTATTGTATAGACAAGGTCTCGCCATGTTGCTCAGGCTGTTCTCGAACCCCTGAGTCAGGCAATCCTCTCACCTCCGCCTCCCAAAGTGCTGGGATTATAAGCCTGAGCCACTGTGCCCGGCCCTTGAACATTTTAAAAGCAAAATTACCTTAGAGTACCTAATATGGGTGTTTTCCGTTTAGGCTCATGAAGTCTTCATGGCTATATTGAACAAATAATTTTGGTCTAAGCTGATTTCAGAGGGCAGAAACTCTAATGGTCCCGGTTAACCCTGCTCAGTCACATTCTGTGGTTGGAGCATGTGAGTGTGGTTTTTTTGTTTTTTTCTCCCCAAAAAAACTTTATAGACATTTGATAAACTAAAGGAGACTAAGAAACTAAGGGAGTGATTTTATAGACAAGTTATTGTGGGAAAATTGCATATGCTATCAATATAACCTAAAATCAATTAAAACAGTACAATAACTAGGGGGACTCTTTTTTCTCATACAATGCATTTAGCCATAACCTGGTGGTAAAAATCAGAAAGATGTAATGCTAGCACACAAGAGGATTTGAGAGCTATAGCCAGTCATGTTGCAAGGACATCTGTCCCAGAGAAAATGACATGGTCTTCAAGAGGAAGAAGGAGGCCTTCATTTCTAAAGTAATTTTTCTCACAGGACATGTTTATTGAGCAGTGACAGCTTACTAGATTGTAGAAGTTGCTGGGAGAATTCAAGAGACAGAGATCTCTCTTCTCCCCTCAAGGAGCTCATTGATGTGTAGGAAATGACTGTTGTGTTTGGTCTTTTGGCTACTACCTAGTACTTTGTTTTCTCAGGAACTACTCAGAAGCAAGCTAGTCTAATATCATCAATAGTGCTGTGGTCTTAATTATAGTTTTGGTCTCCCTTATAAGATAGGTATGAATGTTTTTCCTCTCCCAACACTTATCCAAGGCAATGATATTTGTGGTTGGTAACAGGTGGAGAGATGCTAATCTCGATGTGTCTCCTTTTTCTACTTCCCTTTCCTCTGACAAATAGAACAATATCAGCCTCATTCTGAAGGGCAACACTGTTTTTTACAGGAATTTGGTGCCATGCTAATGGGGGACTATGGAAAAGAGATGCTTGAAAGGGAATCAAAGTAATGATAAAACTGAGTACTGATTGCCATAAAAAAGAGAACTTAGAATAGAAGCACTTAAGAGAAAGGAGTTGATTAATATTAGGCCTCAAGTCCTAGGTGAGGACTTGCCCCTAAAGGAAATGTTACTGGTTTTACCCTCTGCTGAGGTGGAATGGCTTGGGTATCTCCTCCAACTCCTAAGAAGATACTAAAAATAACATAAAACCTAGTAAGGCTGGTTAGTTTGTGAGGCTTAGCCTCTGAGTGGCAACCAAGACAGGCTTTCTTCTTTTCCTGTCTTCAGAAAGAATTGACTAGAAAAACTAGATACAAGCAAGCAAGAACACTAGTAGGTTTTCCTGAGCTGAGGTGCTAAGGAAGGAAGGAGGGGAGGGAAGTGGACACTAACAGCCAAGCATGTGTTTGTGGTTGAAGAATTCCTGTGCTTCACTTGACATGGCAGAATCTTCTGGCAGGGGTGCCCTCAGCATGGGTCTAAGGAGTGAGCTCCTGATGGCTTTCGTTGCCTGTGGTCCAGATGTTGCTCGGTGCCGGTAGCTCCTCTGGTCGGGCCAGCGGTGCAATTGAGTCAGGCCTGATTGGTGATGTTACTGGCCTTCGCCCAAGTTGGATATATGTCCAGATGGAAGAGGCTAATTCCCCAAGTGTTGATGGCCACCATTACTATCACCAGTCCAATGACGTTGACCCCCAGGCCAGCTTTCACCTGCAGGACACAAGCCAGCACATCTGGTCACTCTAAGCAGCACCAGCAGCACAGATCCCCACAGGATCCCTGCCTGTGCCTCAGCCTGAGCCTTGCTCCACCTATGTGGCCCTGACTGGTTTCTGTCACTGCTTGGAGTGCACTAGTGTTGCCTTCTAGGGTGGCACAGGGTCTGTGGGAGGACCAGAAAGGCAGGGAGGAGTTGGGACTGGGAAGGGCAATTATAATCATCTCTACCTCTTGTTTGCCACACTGTCTCTAAAGTGGATGCCTAGAACATGCGTATGTTAGTTACTGCGAACACCATATCTGTGGAATGTGAAGAGTTATTTCTGCAGCTTAATGATAGGGACACATGTTAAACAAAATTAGCCAGATCTCTTTAAGAACTTCTCAGAGACGCGTATGTGCTTATACACATGGGAACTTGCAGGAGGGGCTATATGATGGGAAGCCTTTGCCATGATTTCCTCACTCCACAGAAAAGCTCATGGAAGTAGTATACCTTGGGTTTACCTGGGGAAACAGCTCACCCCCTTCCTCAGAGAAGTGACACAGACCTGCTAGCTGGAGTAGAGCCTCTACTTTTTTCTGAGGGAATTACATTCAATGATTCTGACCCTTTTCACTTCTGCCATAACATTCACATTCATGGACTGAAGGGGGATTGAGAGGATGGGATGGCAGAGCAGGGCCAGATGGAAAAATGTGGACTACAAAGATGGCAGTGTCCTTCCAAGGAGTAGCCAGGCACAGAGCATGTAGGAAAACAAGGCTATGAGCTGGCATTACATTGGGACAACTGCAAGGGAAAAATAAATTCTGGGAAATTGTTCCAAACAAATAGGTTGACGTATCCTTTCTCTCCTGCCTTCTGCCCGGGACCCTGGAATTCTCAATCATCCTGGCCCTCTGGGCCTTTGACAAGGAGAACAGCCATGTTTTTCCGCAGGTGAGAGGGGGCAGGTTCTAACAGCTAAATTAAGGTCCTTGAGAGCTAAAAGGGACCACATGGAGTATCTAGCTGGCACCTCTTCATTTAGCAGATAAGGAGATTGAGGTCTTAAGGTAGTGCCCAAGTTGGGAACACAGCCCAGAACTGGCTTACTTCTTGTCAACTAGTTGATCATTTATTCCATTGTAGAAAGCTGGGGGTGAGTGGCAGGGGCACACAGTGGAGGGGGCAGGAGACAGGCAAGTTGGGGCAGAGCTCAGCATGTGGTAAGATAGGAGGGGAGAGAGGAGTAGTCCCCTCCTTCCCAGAAGCATCTCAGATAGCTTGGATGAGCAGTTGGAACAGTGGAAAGGACCTGAGTACCTGCACCAGCCTGGAACTCTTCCTCCATTTGGTGTTTTACAGAGCTGCTGAGAACAAGTTTGGACTCCCATGAAAAAAATTTCTCAGACCTTCAGCCAGAATGAGTGGGCTCTATTTCAGACAGTCAAGCCCCAGGAATTCATATCAGTGTTTTCCAGCCTCTCCCCAGCTCCTGCTATCCCTGAACGTTGAGAAGCAGAGCCGTTGGTGTAGGTTGAGGAATGGAGAGTGGAGAAACACTAAAATCAGAAAAATGTCTTAAAGCCATCTTTTGTGGGCCTTACTGAAAACTAAGAAATGAATGGGGGGGGGTGCCTCATCTTTCATTGTTGCTTCAGGAGTTACTTGCGTGGGAGGAAGTTTTATTCTCACAAGATACCTTTTACTTTTGAGTCAACCAGCCCAACTTTTTGAATGAATATCTCCACTGGTCCAGTGAAGAAACAGAGGCAAGGATGTGTTTGTACAAGCACATGCCTTCTGGAACTGGGCCACAGCCTACGTCTATCCCAGCCTTCTCTGTGTCCCCACTTTCTTCGTGGGGGTGAGGAGAGCACATTATTGCTCTTGGTGCCTATAGACCAACCCAAACCCTCTTACATGCCCGTTCTTTCTACCACACTAGACTGAGTGTTGACAGACCGGGACACTGCTGCAGAGTGAGCTTGGGGAGAACACTAGAGCCGATCATCTGTGCTCGTGAAATAGGCCTGCAGGGGAGGTACCCGCAACTCACCATGTCTTTGATCTGGCAGTGCCCATAGCTGAAAACGATGGCGTTGGGGGGGTTGCCCACTGGCAGCATCACCGCGAAGGAGATGCACATGGTGACTGGGATCAGGGTGTAGAGGGGATTAATGTGCAGCGATTCAGACTGGAAGAGAGAACCCACAGAAGCACTCATGTTGGGGTTAGGCTTGTTGTTTCCTATGTGTGACATCATGAGCATGCCTCAAATGATGGCTTGGTGCTGGCTAGCCTCAGTGGTATACCATGTGCTAGAGGTAGGTAGGCCTTTTCCCTAAATAGGCTGACACTGCTCACATTCCCCATGGAAATACGGCTTTGAGTTACTTCCTGGGAGGAATGTTTGATTTTTTGGTGCTATTCTAAGGAAGTGGTTCTTCAACTTTATTATTATTTTTTTTTGAGTTGGAATCTTACTCTAACACCCAGGTTGGAGTGCAGTGACACACTCACGGCCACCTCAGCGGTGACCTGCTGGGTTCTGGTAATCCTTCCGCCTCAGCCTTCCAAGTAGCCAGAACTACAGGCATGAGCTACCATGCGTGGCTAATTTTTGATTTATTGTAGAGATGAGGTCTTGCCAAGTTGTCTGGGCTGGTCTTGATTGCAGATGTGAGCCACCATGCCTGGCATAAGCTGCTTTGATTGAAGCAGGATCCCTCGCTCTTAAGGTTTTTTCCCCCAGAGAAGATAATTGCCTTATATGGGATTTGAACCCTGGTCTTGCTCTCAGTGTTGTTAAGTTTTAACTAACTGCACTCCCCTGTTCATGCAGGCAAGATGACAGAAGGGAGTAGTTGGAAACCTCAGGTGGGAGTGGGCTTTGGTTTTTTTGTTTTTTTTTGAGTTGGAGTCTCACTCTGTTGCCCAGACTGGAGTGCAGTGTTTTAGTTCTAGGAAATATCATTGTTATTGTGAATAGGATATTGATTATTAAATAATAAAATGTGAAACACATGGAGTATACATCAAAGGTTTCTGAAATTACGTTAAGAGGTAAAGATGCATTAAAAGAATGAATGGGAAAAAATGCATTATGTGCCAGTGGTAACATTTTCTTTTCTTTTTTTTTCTTTCTTTTTCTTTAAAATTTTTATTGTAAAGACGTAGGATA